CAGTTAAAAATTGAAGTAACTCTTTCACTTATATTAAGAGAAATAGCTAACATTTTCAAATGAAAGCTCTTATTTTCAATGCCCCGCTGATAACAGTTCTCCAGATAAGATAACAATAATACCAACTAATATTCACTCATTCATTCATTGATTAGCTCGTTCTGATTTCACAACTTCAGTTTGCGTATCCATTCGGTGGTGGCCGTTAGTGATTAGAATTTATTTTATAGAACATACGTAGAATTTGATAGACAATTTCAAAATAGGCAACTGTAATCCGTACAAAAGTAACCACAAAAGCAACAACAACGACAGCATGTCGGATGAAACTGATTTTGATATTTTCAAGAAGTCAAAATCTAAAGACAAACATGACAAAGCAGACGCTGCAAAATACGTTGGGCAACAGTCCCATGACATAATTGCACCACCAGCAAATCAGTTAGTTGTTTCACGCTCCACCGACGAGGAGTTCTACTCTAACAATAATCCATATGTGGGTATCGCTGTTATACTCAATCACAAATACGTCAAGGGTCAGAAGGATCGAATGGGTACGGAGAAGGATCGCGATACGATAGCAGATGTTCTATGGTCATATGGCTTCGACGTGCGAGTCTTTAATGATCTGACATTCGAAAAGGTGGACGGGCAGCTGAAGGCGAGTAAGTATGAGCTTTACTTTGTTTGTTAAATTTGACGGATACTGTCCATTTGTATTTTTATCCATAAAATCCTCACTGCGCAGACTTTTCAATTTCTAAAAGCATGCAATTATATCTGAATTACCCATACAAAACTGTTTTCTACATATTACTAACTTGTATGCTAAATATGGGCAAAGCAATATTTTTCTTGCCTTTAGTTATAAACAACATACATACATATGTATTTATATTACTCACAGGCATACCAGATACAAATTACTATAGAAATATACTAATATGTATGTATGTATATGACCAGATACTCAGAAAAATATGCCCTATCGTTATCGCCTGTGGGAATCACTATCGGTATACATATGTATATATTTAAGTATGTACATATCGTTACCTTAATATAGAAAGGCCGTAATTCATTTTCTTTCGAAATTCAGTGTTGTACAAAAGTCGGCAGATTATTTACTGAGGACCTAAATAAATTTAAATCAACTACTAAATAGATCAATAAATTAGTTGCAGTGTTCATTAAATACCATTGCTTTAAAGAAAATTGCAATTTATATTTATGGCCTTATTCCTAAAAAATAGAGTAGTTTTAAAAATCGTTATAAATTTACTTTTTTATAATTTTATAAAATTTTTCGATTCATAAAGCATTTAAAGTCTTCTTTATTATTTATGAGTTTGGATGTTACTTTTTATAAATTTTTGTAGCTACGCGAAAAGAACCAAACATTTTAGATATGACCTTCCTATATTAAGGTGACGATATGCACAATTAACATACGTATACGAAAGTAAGTGTATGTACATTATGGTGGTGCAAAATAAGAAAACCCGGAGTTTTAATGCTCTCACCCCCTAGGATTGTTCCATATCGAAAAAATATACCCTTATTTTTTTATTTTGAAATCAAAAAATATTTAGAGGTCGCTCAAAGTGCTCAAAGTTTTCCACGCACTTAATATGGGGAAAAACAAATTTTCGTAGAAGTGATATGGAAATCTTGAAAACTAAAATTTTTCGATCGGAAAACTCTGGTTGTCTTCAGGAGACTTCCGATAACAATACCCAATTGTCAGTGTGGTTAGAATTAGGAAATTCAGAGCATATTCATTGCAGTAACCACGAATTTCATGTTGCACACAGAAGTATTGGTGTAATAAAACCCATCAAAATTCAGATTTATCAACTTTGATAAAAGTATCTTTAAAAAAGTCTTCGCCGCTACTTGCTGTTGAACGTACATTAAGTAGAAAATATCGCACACCGTCTTCGAAAGAGTCACAACTCAAAATAATACGTTCGTCAGAAAATGCGAAAAACTATTTCGTAGCACATGCTAATCATATGTGCAAGGGCGACTTTACCCTGGTTGTTTTAACAGATTATAACAAAAATTTGCTCCAGCTTTTGCTGAAAGGTAAAGAAAAGCTCAGCGTACATCTTTGGCGCATAATCTTAAAAATGCCAAATTTTGAGTAGTGACTCTTTTGAAGACGGTGATAATTTTTGTTTTGTTTTCTGCGCTTTCGATGGCTGCATTTCTTTCTATCGTTATTAAATTCTTTACGGGCCAATCTTAAATAAAACCAAATACCTTTGACCAGTTGGCGCAATGATTTTCGAGAGAACGACCAATGACACTGAAGATGGCACAACGCCGAAACCGATTTGTCTCGAAACCCAATTTTACAAGAAGCAACGGAAATTCGTTCCAAAATACATCACACTCCTACCGTTTAGAAAGCATCAATAATCAAAAGAAAACTCCCATAAACTTTACCATCTAGGATTACACCTAAAAAGTACTTCGTTTCGGAATAAGTACTTAAGTGTATGGTGAGCCATGCCGCCCACCCTACTCCTTCTAGTGAACACTAGTTTTGGTTGCGTTAGCGACCTATACGAAGTTAGTTTTGGCGCTATTTACATAGATTATATGTAAGTCTTAAACAAATATTTACACAGCCCAGCAACTAGCGGGATGCTAGGATCCGTTAGTTTTTACGACACTTAAGGAGTCCTATTCTTGCAAGCCTTACTACATTGGAGATAAAATGTGACGATATATGTATGTATGTATGTAGTGAGGGATAAAATTAGCCTACGGCAAGGTATTCATAGAAGTGAAGAGCTAAATACATACATATGTAAATACTTACCATTAGGGAATTTTAAGGCTTAATCTGGCAACCAATTCACATTTCAAACACAGTTTGAAGTCTTTTAAAACTCCAATGTTTATTCTCCGAATTCCACTTATTAAAAGCGATCCCCTATTTCTTTTATTTTCAGTCGCCAAAGAGGATCATTCTAACAACGATTGCTTTGTGCTAGTCGTTATGTCACATGGCGCCGAAGGCAGAGTATTTGCCAGCGATATGAGCTACCCGGTTGAACGCCTATGGCAACCATTCTTAGGCGAAAATTGTAGGAGTTTGATCAACAAGCC